TTTCTGGTGCAGCTTGGGTAGGTCTTCATTTTATACCTGTCCAGTTGAACTTTTTTTAAATATAAAAAGAGATGTTCCTGTTTATTCCTACTGAATTAATAAGAATATAGCCTGTTCAGTAGGAATAAACTGAATAGGCTGTATCCTCAGTATAGCTCATTATTTCATTCTTTGAGATCATTTTGGACCTTAGTCTATCTATCTCTTAGTTTTCTTTTATATATGGATATAAAGCACTTGTCATATTAATCTTTAATAAAAACATTAACTACCTTTCTTTCCATTGCCCACTTCTCCATCTTTCATCTGGACTATTGCAGGAGCTTGGTATTCACGTTCAAGCCTATGGATAAGTTTTTCACACTGCTAGAGGGATGTCTGTTAAAAAACACAAACATGATTGATTCTCATAGTCCTGTTTTATGTCTATCCCTATGGCCACCATTTAATCCCTTTTCTCCACTTGGACGAAGTAGTTACATAACTAGTCTCTGTCCCATCTCTCTTTCTCACTGCAAGTTCATCCTGGCCTGTCTGGATCACACATTTAGCTGTCAATACCCTTCAGTGGCTCCCCACTGCCTCTGTTTGGTGAAAACATTATGCCTTTGGCTCTGTATCCCCTCTGATGGCATGCCCCAAAGCACCTCATCTGGCATCTTTGACATGATTTTACTACTCCTAAAGCAAAGCAAGGCAAGGAACCATAGTTTCATTTTCTTATCTTTCTAATGGTGTGGCTCAACAATAAAACTAAACACTAAATTAAACTGCTCACAGACCCTCAGTGAATTAGGTAACTTACAGAAACACAGTCTAGGCATCTGTATGAATCTTCTGTTGAACTCAGAGATTGATTTCTTCGCCTCATGTGGAATCTATAAAACTGGATTTCTTAGCCTAATTATCGTGAGAGGAGAGGATATCTTTGCACCTTTAACTTTTATCAAGTAATTCGGAAGTTCATGTGGTGCACATTAATTAAGTAGTATCAATGAGAGTAATGAATACGAGGGCTGAGAGGCACTCTAATATGTGCTGGGTTAAGGTTTAATGTGGCATTTCACACCTAGTGTTTAGAAAAGGGTTTTAAAGCTTAGTTTCCACACCTCACATTTGTATAAATGAATCCCTAGAGTTTGAAATTTGTTTATGATAGAGCAGACGTGGGAAAATGGACTCTGTAGGCGCCATGAAGTGTTTTGCAGTGAAGATTTATAGAAATGTTACAAAAGGCACCACAGGGACCTTGTACTTCTGGCTGATGGCATCACCACTACTAGGGCAGTATTTACTGTTTTTCTTATATGCCCGTTAACAAAAAGTGGTCAGATAAAGAAGATCAAAGCAAATCTGCCTTTTCCTTTCAAAGGGTTGATACTTCTTTGTGCAGTATTTCTTTATCCAGCCTCTTTGACGCTATGCATGATGCTGCAAGATGGCAGAATGTTGTGCCTTTATCATCACAAAAGCCATCAGTAAGTGGCGTAATTCTAGGAAACTCTGAGGCCGCCCTTTAACTTTAAGAATAGAGTGGCAAAGAACCAAATGGGAACCTTTGTTCCTTAGTGGTTGTTTGATTCCATGTCAACCTGTGTTGGCTTTGCCATTTTCAAAATCATGCATAGGTTTTAAGTTACATAAAAATATTGTTAAAACTCCTGCTAGAAGTAAATTCCAGTTTATCTTGGGGAGATGCATTAAATACTTAAAAGATTACTGAAGTCCGGGAGTTTTGAAGAATTAACCATCTCCTTGAATGCAGAAATGTGGAAAAGAATTTTGGAACTTCTGGACCCTGATGAAAAGTAAATAACTTATACATACGTGGAACTTGTAATTTACTGGTGACAGACCATTCAATCCGCAGTAATAATTTCTGTTTTCAGCTCTAGCCCTTGAATAGTACAAATTAGGCTCTTTTTTCTGTCAATAATGTTTTCGTAAAGCTCACTGGGCTTTTAGAAAGGGAAATTTTAGATTTGTTTCTCACTGGTTAAGCAGATTTCTTGGATTCATTCATGGAGTGCGCTGTTTTCCAACTTTATGGTCACAGGAGTCTAGGAAGCATAAATGTGAACAGAAAGCGGACTCTATGTGTGTGTATGTGTATGCATGTGACTACATGTTAGTCTTTTATATAACGTTGTGATAGCTAGGCCCAACTCATGAGCTTACTTCCCCAATGATCAGCAGGTTTGACTCTGTTTCATATTCATCCAACTCACAGGTTGGGCATAGGCCAGAGATGCCAACCAGCCAGGGTAGGAGGACAAAGAGACATAAATTTATTGTGGACTAAGCGGGTGGGGCCTGCAGTTGCTCTGGGGCCTGTGGGACTGTTTTAATTATAGTAGCTGAGTGGTAGTGTTTTTACCCATACATGTGAATACATTTTAAAATTATACCACAGAATATTTTTACGCAATGTAAAGCCGATCTAGTTGTAAAATCAACCCTGTTGCACGAGGCAGTGTCTAATTTCTCTCAAATTTGTACAAAGTCTCTATTAATACAACATTCGTCACTTTAATGATTTAAACAAAGTAATTGCAAAACCTGACTGACTATTGGAGAGCTGCATGCCCACTTCCCATGGGGACTGATTCAAAAGCCTCTATATCTGCATGTGATGTGCAAGGATACTTGTACCACATCTAATTGAAAATGCTCCTTAGTGCTGGAGAAGAGTTCAGGGGGCTGGGCGCGGTGGCTCATACCTATAATCCCAGCACTTTGAGAGGCCGAGGTGGGTGGATCACCTGAGGTCAGGAGTCAAAGACCAGCCTGGCCAACACAGTGAAACCCCATCTCTACTAAAAATACAAAAAAAATTTAGCCGGGCTTGGTGGTGGGCGCCTGTAATCACAGCTACTCAGGAGGCTGAGGCAGGAGAATCACTTGAACCCGGGAGGCGGAGGTTGCAGTGAGCCGAGATTGTGCCACTGCACTCCAACCTGGCAACAGCGAGACTCCGTCTCAAAAGAGTTCAGGAATTCAGAGTAGTGTTTATTTTACTTTGGCAGATATTTAAATTTAAGGTCTCACCATACCCCTTTCCGTATTTGCCTTTGTTTTGGATCAGAACATAAAAGGGAATTGGGAGAAGATGGTACTCACATCCCCACAGGGGCCAAGCCACAGCATTCCTGGAATTCCCCAAGAGCTAACCCTATATCCATTAAAGTTTGGGTGTGAACATTTAAGAAACTAATCTCAAATGAATTTAGTCTTAAGTGAAAAATGTGTCCTTTATAAGGGGAGGAAGAAAATCCTTTATTATTATTATTTGATCTGTGGTATTTGCTTTTTTGTGACAGTGATGCAGCTAGTTGATGTTGGAGTCAGGATTTACAAGACAGCAGGATGGGAGCATCTTGACTCGGTGGAGATGATCTGTCAGTTATTAGAGCAGCAGCTAGCTTTATTTGGAAAGTGTAAGCTGTATTTGAGTGACAAACATTTCTAAATGAAATTAGTCATTTGCTTAAGACATAGATTTTCATTTTCTTTACCAAAAGGTAATTTCAAGTATGCTTATTTTATATGTGGGTTTTTTTGTTATTCTTTTGCTTTTTTGTTTTGTTATGCTTTTGCTCTTGTACATACTGACCTGATTCTCTTGAAGTAGAGGAAAGAAGTTAATGTGGATTTGAAAATATTTTCATTTCACAAATAGTATGATATTGATGTATATTACACCTATGTTTATTGATCATCTGATTAAAGAAAAATAATAGGAAATAACAAATGTCTCATTCAAGAATAAAAGTTTATAAATATAGAAAATTATGGAAGTATGTTACATTTACAATTTGTATTCATTTTTTTATTTCTTAATAAGATCTTGAATATTGGAGGCATGCCTCCTCCCTTTCCTTCCATCTCCACATAAGTTGGAGAGAGATCTAGGATTCAAAAACATCTGGGTCAAGCATTCGTCATCAGGAGAAGCACTGGACTAGGAGGAAGGTGGTCTAAATTTTAATTGTAGACTTGGCGCCAACTAACATTTGACCTAGGCAAGGAATTTCATTCACTTCATGAGATTTGGCTTCCTCGCATGTAAAATGATGCTAACTCCCTTATTTTCTCAGGCCCATTCAGCTCCAAAACTCCATTCTCTTTTATTCCAAAGACCCACTGCACAGATTGACACAATTTAAAATAAACTCTAAAACTGAAATTTCCTGCGTTTCTTCATGCCAGAGATCTAATAAATACATGTGAACTTAATTAAATCCACCAGCCTGTGGAGGGAAAGAGTTCTGAAGATTCATTTATTTTTTTCAGCATGTGTTTGCTCGCCATTTAGTACATCCCCCAGCACCATGCTGGACAGTAAGAGTAGATACAAAGAAGTACTTCCTGATAGCGTTGATAGTTGAACTGGAAACACCTTGAAAATAATTACAAAGCAAAAAATGGACTAGTTACAGCAAACTATTATAAAGTATAACAATAGTTGGTATTTATTAAGCACTTCAAGTTGCTGGCACCACACTCATTTAATCCTCACCCTAATCCCATAAGGTAAATGATAGTCATCACCCCAGTTTTACAGAGAAAATGGAGGCACCGAGAGAGTTAAGTGATTTGTCCAAAGTTACTGTTTCACACAAGAGATTTAGAGAGGATATTTTACTTGCCTTAGACTCCCTTGGGTCCTCTCTTGGATAAGTAGGTTTAAGTACTGAGAAAAAGTAAGGGAGTAATTTGGGAGTGGGAGGATTGCTTTTGACTTGCTAAGCAGACTTGATTTTTATTAAAACGCAAAAGCAACACATTTTTTTTCCTAATTTGGGAGTTGGCGTGTTTTAATGTCATTTATTGTAAATTTTTTTTGGAGACAGCATACATTTTAAGCAGTCTAGAAGTGAAGAGTCTTAAAGTGAGATAGCTTATTTCAGGAGAAAACAATAATCACATGATTCTGTGCTTTGAAGAAAACGATCCAGAAAGAACTAAAATTGGGTCAAGTGTTGAGCATTGCTCAGCACCGCTGGTAGTGACTGCCCAGAGCGGTGGGGACTGAGGGTGGGAGGTGTGCTGGGTGTAATAGAGGCAGGTGTTTCTCCTTTGGAGAATTCCCAAGTATAGGTTCTGTCCTTGAAACTTGAGTTGCAGAGGAGACACTCCACATTGTGATCTCTGATGGGAGCCAGCATAATTCTTCTCTTGCCTGTCTTCACCGGAGGGTTTCAGGGACATGGCACTGGTGGCCCTCGTGACCGGTGCTGCCAACCCTGTTTTTATACATGCTCTGGGGTGGTATGAGTATCAGGAAAGTAAAGGGAGCTGCTCTGTGGGTACTAGCCATGCCTTCATTCATCCAGGGGCTTGCAAACATTGTTACGATAGACAACCTGGCCCAGAAAAGAAGAAAAAGCCTTTCTTCCTCAGGCCTCTCTCTCCATACTGAGGAGTCTACTGCTGCTTGTGCAAGCAAAACTCTTTCTCCTCCCATCCTGCTGCTCTGCCGCTGAGAGGAAGAGGGAGCTGCCCAGCGGCCTCACGCAGTAACCCTCTGCTGGTGAGTTCCCAGAACCCAGCATCCTGCAAGCTGCCGCTTCTCAGCTGGGGAGATGGAGCTGCTCTCCGCCCTCCTTGATTAGAATATGTCAGGGTTGTCAGGGCAACTGTGAACGGCAGCGTATCATATTTTCCCCTGTCTGCTGTGGGCTGAATATTTTACTGTGCGGTAGCAGGAAGAAGACTGGGAAAAGGTGCTGCAGCAGGAAGAAGCTGATTGAACAGGTTAGGCAGTGGTGGGAGGCATCAGACCCTGCGTGTCTTTAGTAGGGCTTTTCTGGAAAGTGTGTGTGTGTGTGTGTGTGTGTGTGTGTGTGTGTGTGTGTGTGCGCGCGCGTGCGCGCGCACGCATGCATGCCCCCGAGCAATCACCAGCGCATGTGCCTGTCGGGGAGTCAGTGGGAGGGGGCTGGTAGGGGAGGTGGGGAAGCTGCTGCTAGGTGAGGGGAACTGCAGGGGCTCAGTTGCCAAGTGGCTGGTACTATCTGTCAGCTGTTTGCAAACTGTTTACCCATAGGGGATCTATTACAAGTGCTCAAATGAACAGGGAGCTTAGGAACTAGCAGCTTCCTGGGAGCTGCAATTACATAAGCATATATTTTTAATATAATAATAATTAAAAAAAAAAAAAAAAACAAGTAGCAGCGGTATGCCTGGATCAGCTACAGCTCTCCGACACGAGAGACTGAAGAAGACCAATGCAAGGCCAATTCCCCTTGGTTTATTCACCATTAATGAGGAAGACGAACAGCAAAAGAATGGAAATTCCAGAAGACCAAAAGGTATGCATTAGCTCCATCCTTTGGTCGGAGCCAGATCCAGCCCTTGTCTCTCACACTGCCTATAGAACATTTTATAAACTGTGCTGCTCGTGCATGCTCCGGGGAGTGCTTGTGACCTCCTAGCACGGTTTGCTGGTAGTGTTTATACCCTCTGTAGGGCTGTGTATGCATGAAATGGGAAACAGTTTTTGTAGATTTGGTATATTTCAGATCAGTTGCCTTTTTTGACTTAAGCTACTTTCTTGGCCTAGAGATCTTTAATTTTTCCCATGCTCACTTCAACAGTGACCAGTCACTCTGTCCTCATCAAGAGGAGAAAATACTGAGTTATCAAGGTTTAAATGAACATCTCCCCACCTTCCTTAGGTGCCTCAGATAATTTTTGCTTACTTTAATGAAGTGAGTTTCTGCTTTAAAGGGATGAGTTAAAGTGACTCAAGAGTGCAACCTTTTCTAGGCAAAGGATCAAAATGTCACTTCTCTTTCTATACTAAAATGCCGAGAGTAAAGAGGGGCACAGCAAACATTGAGGGCAAATGTGGAGGGTGAAGCTAGGGAGCAGGGAGCAGATTGTGAGGTTGTATAACTTCTGATGATAACTTTGTCACTGAATGCGTGTATGGCAGTTGAAACGCACAGGGTAGAGAAAAGGGAAGTCTGACCCTTGTGTTGTTCTTTCACCGTATGAAAGGTAGCAGCAGCTTGCCAGCTTCTTGAGGGCCTATGTACTGCATCATCGTCAGCATTGTCTCACAGCTGCCCTCCCAGGGCTGTAATTATCAGCCAGAGACAGCAACATCAGGCATTTTTGAAAAAGGGGTTTTAAGGCCTTTGTTTTATGTTTTCCAGCATCCTAAGTCTTGCTTCCCCTTCCCCAAAATATATAAGCTGTTCTTAAACAGATGGGTTATGAGTTTTCTTGCTTTTATGTGCTGATTAAATTTTAGCATGCACTTAAATTATTCTGTCACTGAGATATCAAATTTTCTTCTGTGATGCAGAGAGGTAGCGTCACAAAGTAGAAAGCAAATATTTAAGCAATGATAAAGTGAAGAGTGTTAAATGGAATCCAGTGTCTGAGGACTCCTGGTTTTCTTCTTGAATCTTGGTTCTTGAATGAATCTTTCTTTGCTTTTCTTAAATGTAATTGAAACTGTCTACATTAAATCCAAAAGCATATTACTTCATTTTTATGAGACTGTACACAGGAAAGTTCTAATAAGTAGAATCTTACTACTGTAGTTGACTTTTATTTACTATCAGACCAGGCTCCTGTCTGAGAACCAAATGACCTCAGAATTCAAATGATGCTATGACTGGAAGGTGACTTAATGTGATTCTTTTATTTGCCTGTGAATTAGATCGTTGAACCAGAGTGTGTTGCTCTGGATGAAAACTAAGGACTTTAAATTTTTAGCGGCAAATCATTTTGCCTCTGAAAAGTTGGTAACTTTTAAAATTAATGTGGATTTGTTGAATTGTTCCCATGGGGTATTTTTGGAAACATTCTTGATTATGGTACTTTTCCTTGCATATCTTCGGCAGTAACTTAGGATAACCATCCATTTTATTCTTAATAATTTTCTTTTCTTTTCGAGGTGGAGTCTTGCTTTGTTGCCCAGGCTGGAGTGCAGTGGCGCAATCTGAGCTCACTGCAACGTCTGCCTTCCAGGTTCAAGCAATTCTCCTGCCTCAGCCTCCCGAGTAGCTGGGATTACAGGCACCCGCCACCACGCCCAGCTATTTTTTTTTGTATTTTTAGTGGAGACGGGGTTTTGCCATTATTGGACAGGCTGGTCTCAAACTCCTGACCTTGTGATCCTCCCACCTCGGCCTCCCAAAGTGCTGGGATTACAGACGTGAGCCACCGCACCCTGTCCTCTTCTTAATAATTTTCTTGAATACCTCTTCCTGTCTCCTGTTGTTGTTTTTGTTCAGTTGCCTTTTAGTATTTTTTTTTAAAAGGAAGAGAAAGGGGAAGAAAGAAGATGCTTCTAAAAACCTATTTATTTTTGGCAATTTATGTAGTTTCTTGGATGAGAGAGACTTAATCAGGGAGTTCCTGACCCCCTACCATTTTTCTTTCTATCCCTACCCACAGTGGTGGGGAGGGCAAAGAGGGGTATTGGAGGAAGACTGAGAAAAACAATCCTGTGCTGATAAGGATGTCCAAACTTTTTGTGGATCATCAATTGTCTCTGTGACACATTCAATAAAATAACCAGATAACCCTGGGTATCTCTAATTATGCTCAATGAATAAAATTATTGGCTTTGACTGAATTTTTCATTGGGTCCATCTTAACAATAGGAATATTCACTTTGTAGTCCAGCTTTGTTCCATGGAAAATGATGGAAATGTTCTGTATATGCACTGTCTAATACAATAGCCATTAGCCACAGCTGCAGAGCTTGAAATACAGCTAGTGCAACTGAGAAACAAAATTTTAGTTAAATAGCCACATGTGACTACCTTATTGGACAACACAGTTCTAGTCTGTAGAGCTGTTACGTTCTGAATTTGTGTCTTCTCTGGTTTGTTTGTCCTTACTGCTTCCTGGTATTGGATATGGTTGGGTCCTGAAATGAATGTGGTTATTAAGCAGAACATCAAGGAGCAGACAGCCTCTTTACTGCATGAGAACACAGAAAACTGGATGTGTAGATAATTCCATTTTTCCTTTTCCACTTAAATGTTGTTGCACTGTTCTGATTATTATTATTATTACTAGTCACTAGTTGCCTGTATCATTTGTTGCACCTTTTAATGGACTCTTTTTTTTTCTTCCTTTTTATTTTTATTTTTTCTTTAGAGTCAGGGTCTTGCCCTGTTACCCAAGCTGGAGTCCAATGGCATGATCATAGCTCACTGTAGCCTCCAACTCCTGGGCTCAAGTGATCCTCCTGCCTCAACCTCCTTAATAGCTGGAATTACAGGCACATGTCACCACACCCAAGTACTATTTTAAAAAGTTTTTTGTAGGGATGGGATCTCGCTGTGTTGCCCAGGTGATCCTGAACTCCTGTCTTCAAGTGATCCTCCCATCTTGGCTTCCCAAAGGGCCGGGATTACAGGCATGAGTCACTGTGCTTGGCCCTCTCTTATTTTCTAAATCAGTTATTCCCAAAGCATCATAGCAAGATGACATACAGATTATATTTTGTGTGTGACTGTTATGATACACAATCAGAAACTTTTCCCACCCCATGGCCTAATCTGCCAACCATACCCAAACCTGGTATCCAAACCTGGTTTTCATGCTTAGTATCTTTTTTTTTTTTTTTTACTGGTAGTAAAGAAGTTTACCATCTAAATTTGATGAGTTGAATGTTTCCGTTCAGGATTATCCTGGCTAATGAGGAGTACCATCTTTTCAGGTACCATACTGTTGGGCAAACATCAAATAACTCAGTAAGAGTGAGCGTGGAGATTACCATCTGGGTTTCTGTGGTGGCTTCATAGTTATCTGGTGGGGTGGCAATAGTTTGTTTAGATGGTAGACTAGATAATTCTTGAAGAAGTGATTACTCTTCCATGTAATCAGTAGGAGTGTAATGTTTTACATACCTGACTGTTACTACCATAGTAATTAAATAGTCACTGGGAGCGAGCTGGGCTTATGCTGATGCTCTTATACCTCAGAACCTCAAGCCTCCTTGTAATGCTGACTTCAGGGCTGGCTTAGGAGAGACTGTTTAGGTGCTGCAGTAACTAAATGCCCTTGGATAGGTCTCAAGGCAAACCTGCCTTATGGTGAATTTTGCTGAGCACAGTGATTATTAAGTAATAAGGCGTTTTCCTCCTAAACCAGCATTTGTTAAATGCTCACTCTGTGGCAGATTGCTCTGCTGGGTTTTTTTGGAAGTAATGCAAAGATAATTGACATGGTTTCTGCTCACAGAAGTGCAGGAAGAAAAATATGTACAAATAATGCAAGAGTATAAATTGAAGTCAGGAAAGGAAGAGGATGAGAGGGGTGAAAATGTTAAGTATGTGCCAACTGTGAAGACATTGGCCTCAAGATTTTAATCTGAAACAGAGCATTTAAGGGATATAGACTCCTCTCCCATCCCAAATGTCTGGCTGAGGTTGAAGACCTCAGACCTTAAAGGCGGGAGCAGAGAGTAATGGGCAAAGCATCTTTTAAATGTCATTACAGAAGCTAGACATCCACACAATGTTTGCCTGCAGATAGACACTTCTAGAGGCTTCATGACTCTTACACAATGTGTTTTACAACTTCTGCTTTGTAATGGTCTCCTGACTCATTCTGTGAACTGCCTAAAGCAGTCATCTGATTGACTTTATACTCCTGTCTTGTTTTTATATAAAATCTGATTGATGCGCAGCTCTAATACTAAATTTACTCATGAGACTTGACTCTAAATGACTTTTACTTGGTTTTATCAAAGTTATCATCTCCCTCAAAAGACGAAAGACTCATCACTCTCTAGGTGGATCATGGTCTTCCTGCTTTCAGTCTTTCCTCTTTCCAACCCATCCTCCATAGCATGCCTCTATGACATCTTTCCAATGGGAATATCTGCCTATTAGAAATAAACTTCTCAGTGAAACAGAGGTCTTGACTAACAGTCTTTGAGCCATATTTAGTCTATAGCTATGTTTATTTGTCTCCTGCAGGTGTTTATGAGTCAACATTTAGAAACTGATTTTTTCATAATCTGGATTTCAGCTTCCCTTGAAAAGTTGGAAGACACAGCCACTCTTGTCGTCTTCCCAGCAGTCATCAGCTGGAGCGAAGTAGCAGCTGTCACCATAGCTAGAGACAGGTCATGCGTGCTGCAGTGCCCCTCTTCTAGAATATACATTACATGGCCTGCCTCAGTTATCTGCATTACCGTAGTCATTGCTTTTGTGACCCCTGACCTAAGGAATAGTCCAAGCCCCTTAGCATGGCACCTAGACTACCTGCCAGATGGTCTCTTTTTCCCTCTTCATCCTCTTTCCTGCCACTCTTTGCACTTTGTGCTCCAGCAGCA